CCTCCAACTCCTGGGCTCAAGCGAGTCTCCTGCCTCAGCCTCCCAGGTAGCTGGGACTACAGGCGCCCGCCACAACGCCCGGCCATTTTTTTGGTTGCAGGCATCATTGTTGTTTGGCGGGCCCGGGCTGGGGATTCGAACCTGCTACCTTAGGTGTATGTGGCTGGCGCCTTAGCCGCTTGAGCCACAGGTGCTGAGCCACTTCACAGATTTAAAACAAGGACAGGTAATATCAGAGACTGTGGGCTTTGTCTCTCAAAAACAGTGTGTTTGGTTATAATGTGAACATTTTTTTTTTCCTTTTAGAAAGCACCAACTACAGGAGATACAATGTGGATTTTATTATTCTTACCTTACTCCAAGATTTTCAAGATGAGACTCATCAAGATAGGGCAGTAATGAACCCGTAATTTTATTTTCTATGGAAGAAAGGAGAGTAAAAAGACAAATAAATTCAATATTTATAACATATGCTTTTTGATTTTTTTCAATTTGAATCCACCAGAATTTATTTAAGTCAACATTTAGTGAGCACCCACTATAGGCCAAGTACCACTTTTTTTATTTACTACTTGAAGACAGGGTCTTGCTCTGTTGTCCAGCCTAGGTTCAAGCAATGCTCTCACTTCAGTGTCCTGAGTAGCTAGGACTACAAGCAGGTATCACCATGCTTAAGATAATTAAAAAAAATTTGTTTCTTTTTTGAGACAGAGTCTCACTATGTCACACTTGGTAGAGTGCTGTGGCATCACAGCTCACAGTAACTTCAAACTCCTAGGCTCAAGCAATTCTTTTGCCTCAGCCTCCCAAGTAGTGGGGACTACATTTGTCTGCCATAACGCCCAGCTATTTTTGTTATTGTTGTTGTACTTGTCATTGTTGTTTAGCTGGCCTGGGCTGGGTTCATGTGGTGCATGAACCCCTGGTGCATGTGGCTGGCACCATAACCACTGAACTATGGGTGCTGAGCTTTTTTTTTTTTTTGAGACAGAGTCTGAGTATGTCACCTGTGGTAGAGTGCCAAAGCATCACAGCTCATAGCAAGCTCAAACTCTTGGGCTTAAGCAACTCTCTTGCCTCAGTCTCCCAAGTATCTGGGACTACGGGCGTTCTCCACAACTTCTGGCTATTTTTTGTTGCTGTTGTACTTGTCATTGTTGTTTGGCAGGCCCCAGGCCGGGTTCAAACCTGCCAACCCCAATGTATGTGTCTTACACACTAACCACTAAGATATGGGCGCAGAGCCTAAAAAAAAATTTTCTTTTTTTAAATTATTTTTTATTAAATCATAACTTTGTACAATGATGCATTTATGGGGTTCAAGGTACTGTTTCGATATACAATGTGAAATGTTTACACTGAACCAAGTAACACATCCATCACAATTATACTCATTTCTTAATAGTTCTGAAATGTGGCTCGGCGCCTGTGGCTCAA